GTTTTTTGACATATGATGCATCATTAATAATGTAGTGGACCTGACAGTGTAAATGGGGGCTGCTGCATATTCATACAGTATTGACTTGTCAACCACAAAGTAGGCCAACTCTAGTACTTGATGTGATGATGACTGTTTTGTAATATACCAAACAAGCATTATGTAAACAATCTCTTGTACACGTGGATTTTAGAATTTTTAACAAAAGAATGTAGCACACTACAGGAGGCCTTACTTTTTAGACTCAAAGACACTTTCCATCTTTTATGTACAGTCTATGATCTTAGTGTTAAATGTAAATGATAAATAGAGCAATCAGATGTGCTTATTTACTCAAGCCATATATCGATCAAGTGTCAAAAAATAATAATCGGATATGTCAAATTTATAGATGAATACAGGAAGTGAGTTTAAGTTGTTACTTCTCATCATTTCTGTCCTTTATCCATCTGCAGGCCAGTTTCAACGCGCTGACATTAATATAACAGTGGTGAAAGACCACGTGGATGAAGGTTTTCATCGAGTTAAGAAGGAACAAATTCTGGCCAGGGGGATCCTGAGGTGGGGATCAGAGCAAATGCCAGTTACCCTGCAAGACAAGACGCTGAAGGACTCGGTGCAAAAACACCACCGAAGCAGCTGCTGGGTGGTGCCCAAGACAGAGATAGAGAGACTACTGGGTCATTCGTATGAGAGCTACGTGGTGAATCGTATGTAATTCTAGCCGAGTCATTTCCACCGTGTTGGCTGTTTGCTGCACAGCTCAAGTCACAGCAGGTAATGTGGATAGGTTATCACAAAAGGATGAACCAAAGCTGGGATCCAACTGGGTTAGTTGCCTGAATGGTATTCTGGAAGGGTGGGACAGATTACAGACTGCAAAGAAAAGTTTCCTATAAAGAAGTAAATACAGCAAAGGATTGAATGGTGCCCCTGTTCCAGCTCCACCACTGAATTTGAACCAGATTCAAGCTTCGTATCTATGACAGAGACGCAATGTACTCCTGGTCGCATGGCAACTACAAAATATCCAATGGCTGCTGCAGCAGTTTGCGCATGCTCCAAAATGCCTTGCAAAACAACCCTGTTTACAAGTTGTTTATCAGATTATTCTTATATTTTATGATTGAATTTTTGATAGTCAAAAGCTATCTTTCAGAATTACTTGTAACCATAGTGTAATTCAATAAGTTGTATTTTTAGTACAAGTGTATATAAAACATTAATGTATGTATGTGTGTATAGATAAACTTCCCGTGTCAGCATTGCATCTTTAATAAGCAACACAAATCAGTCTTTTCCAAGTTTGCCATGTGCTTTTTATTTTTCTGTCATTTCATTCATAGTTTAATTCATTTTATTTGTTACACAAGACATTAGGCATTGTTCACATACTAGTGATCAAACAAGGACAGTAAGTTTTCTACTACTCAGTCTATTTCTTTTGTCAATTTCAAGGGATATTTGTCAATAGTGGTTTTCAAAGGCCATACTAAACAGTACAACCACACATGAGGCTTTTGTTTTCAATAAATAAAAAAAGAGGATAGTATCTGATGCTGAGGAAGGGTGGGTGGGGGGCTTCAGATATATCTATGTTCAAGAAGTAAACAGTATTCCAGTTATCACCAGATAATGTGTTTCCAGGATGAAGAGCACACACAATGTTAAATGACGCACAGTGTGAACACACAGCTGTATCGACTTTGACTCCAGATCTATGACTGACTGCTGCTGTTGTCCCTCCATCACAACCTGTTTCTTAGGAATGCTAAAAATCATTAAATCCTGATGCAACACTGGAATGATCACTAAATTAGGTAAACATAACACATGACACAGCAAATAAACAAACGAAAGAAATCGGTGTGCATAACGTTTCAAATCCATTTTATCATCGGAACGTAAACTATTAGCATAGCATATTCAGCACTTGACGTGAACCCTTCCACGATACGTCAGCGAAATTCAAATAAATAGAGCTCAAAGATAAGACACGTCAACACCCCGGATGCGATAACTTTGTTTAGAGTTGTCAAGGGGTTGGTCGCGGTGGATAAAGTGAAATGGAACCGCTTCAGTTTTCAGTAAAGTAACATGGATCGTAGCATCTCGCGTTTGTTTTGATCCATAACGAGCCAAGCCACAGATCGATCTGACTGCGAGTGTGCACTGCAGAGATATGAGGAACTGTCTCAGGTGTACAATAACACCTCTGACTCGGTAGGAAACAGCATCCTCTCTATAGTGTTCAGCCAGCTCTGCAGAGCAACATACACCACCAAACTTTTAATGTCAGCGAGCTTTGCCAATAACAGAATCACCAGTTTTGGCACAAGACTGGCCTCCCACTACATGTTAGTAAAAACAAAGCAGTCAATGTTTTGAATGGGTCCAAACATTTGAATTAGACCCAAAATTAAGGCTACAACCAAATAAAAGCATCTTGGTTCACTCTCATGGGGCGGCACTTGAAACTGTGGTTTCATACTTATGCTATGCTACAGTCTTTTGAAAATTTCTTGCTTTTCCCTCTATGTCACACTACAATTTTTTTCTGAGTTTTAATCCCAAGGGTAATGACTTATCTCAATGACAAACACAAGGGTTGAAACAACCAAGACACAATCTGGTGCTTCCACTGAGAGCCGAAATTTCAGTCTTCACTCTCTTCCCCCGCAAGTGAAACTTCGCCAAGACAACAATCTCCTCACATACATTCTCATCCTTCACCATTTCAAAAATCTTCCAGATCTCTTCACAGAAACCCTCACCTAACACAAGACAAATCCTCGCCATGCCTTTTTGCCCCAATGTTCCCTTTTTCTCGTAAATGTTCAACTCGAAGACCACGGTTTCATCCTCTGCTCTGTAAACTTCATAACTTCAGCCAGTGAAATGTGCACCAAGCATATAGAAATAAAACTCTTCAATAATTTAAAATGTTAGAAAGTAAACTATTCAAATTCAAAACTGACATCACACAACAGAGATAAACAAAGAAACTTTTTTTTGTGTTTTTCTTTTCCAGGAGGGAAGGGTTGACAGTTAGTAGCCACTGATTAGCTTGCCTGCTAGCACAGGAAACACAACAGCATTGCAAAGTGAGCACTACCAGCTGACAGAACAGCCCATTTATATGTAACTTTTCATCACATTTTTTTGTTTTGTTTTTTTCTGTTTTTGCCCGACCAACAGATTTTGCCAAAATGAGCGGCATCTATTGAAGAAACACAGGTAAAAGACCAAGTAAGAGAAAAGTGAAAGCAGGGTTGACAGGAGTGATGCGTGGAATGGTCCAGCCTTCATACTGCAGTGTCATTTGAATCTATGTACAATACTACTGTGTGTAAAAGATGCATGCATGTCCACTGGAGGTGACCCTTCCAGAGGATTCTACACTAAGCCGTTACACATCTCTCATGTCAGAGCTATCTGTTGAGACCTCTCGGTGCCATCAACCTTCCATCGACCCAACCTCTGATATGAGGAGAAAGATGTTACAGGAGGAATGAAATGCTTTGGAAATTGCCAACAACAAGTAATAAATTCACCTCTAATGATAATAGTTAAGACATGATTATACTGTAAATTCTACAATGGAATGAAAAACCATATCAACCCTGCTTTTCAGTGACAGAGAAAGGGAATGTGAGCATTTGAAAAGCGTGTATGTGTGTGTCTGTGAGCATTTATGTGTCTGAATGCGTGCCAAGAGAGGGCGAGAGAGAGCGACGCGAGGAGGTGGAGGCAAACGGCTGAAGACAGGCTCAGAAGCTCAGACGCACACCCTCTCCACCACTCTCACATTTTACCCATTTTGCTTTTAAAGCACTGTTTAGGCAGCTCTACCGAAAGCCCCGTTGCCTCCAGTTTTGCATCCACCTCCTTTCCCAGCCTTGCCCTCTCTCAGAAGCCCCCCCCTCTCTAGCTCACTGCTCATCCTCCCCAAACACATCGTTCTGTTTGCGTTTCATGTTTTCAAAGTCAAAGTCGCTCCCGGTCGTACGTTTGTAGATGTCCTTGATGTCATTGCAAGTGGTCTCGAAGTGAGTGGTGGCATCGTAGGACCTTGATGCGAAGATCTGAGGAAAAAGTTCAATAACAAGACTTAGATTTTACAGCATTGCTAGCAGGTCAGTGAGGCTGCGGTGCTCATTTCCAGCTTCACATTTTTATTCAAAAATCTACAAAAATAGCTTTGCATGATCCTTATTTATTGTCATACCAGGCCTCTGTGCACCTGCACAGTTCATCTGTCTGAAACAAGCAGATCTATCTCCCATCTCCTAACAAAGCTTTGTAAATGACTGAAAACAGAGGGTTTAAACACAACACAGCTCTGTGTCTGATATGAACATATTAGGGATATCCACTCATAGTGACATCATACAGAGGCAAGAGGGGAAAAAAACTCTGAATCTGATTGTTTAAAGCAGTCTGATGCTTGCAGCTAAAATTTCAAGCTGGCACCTAAACGCCTCACATGCACATACAAGCTGGCTTCAAAAGTGAGTCAATCCCCACAGCCTCCTATGCTAAGATTTTAGAGCAGAAACAAATCTGGGCTTTATTTAAGGTCTTTTGGGCTATTTTTAAAACAATTAACCATCAAATATCTTGCATTTAACTGTATTAATAGCGCTATGCATTTGGTGAGTGAATTCTACCGTTCTGTATGGAACTTAGCACTAATTAGCAGGTGTCTGCATCTATTTTATGTACTCATACAGTTTATGGGTGCCTCTTGCTAACCAAACTTGCTAACTTGAAAGGAATGCAAACTCTCATCCATTTCTGGGTCCAAAATAACCAAGCGGGCCAGCTGTTGCCCATAAAATTGAAGCTTCCAAAAAGGAGATCACAATTACAAGTGACATCACTAGATCATCACTACAGCCATCTTCTATGCACAGTCTATGATAGAATGATAATTACCTATCTAGTACAACATTTCTTTGCAACAAACTGGGCAACTGACCCTTCAACGCAGCCGTATTAGTTGTGACAGCGTATTAATTTGTTATCTTGTAAAATACAATATTTTTTCTGAATGTTACCCTTGGAAAAAAATGTCTCACCTGGCTCTCAGTACCATCATCTGTGGGCTCATAAAGGTCGCTAATAGCCACAAACCTGTGGGGAAAAAAATGTGATTTATCCCAGTTATATATACATCCCCCCCCCCTCATGTAACTAAAAATATACATGAATTTGAATAAGCAATAAGTAAAATGTGGGACTCACTTTTGGTCGATGGGCTCCAGCAGCTCCAGAGCTGGCTCAATTTCATTCTCAGGTTCACTAGTTTCCACTGTGGTGCTGACAATAGCGATGTACTTCCCCTGGGCCGCCACGTTGTGAGCATAGGAGATCATGCACACATAGATGTCTAAAGAACAGACAAAGGAGTTAACAGGAAGAGATGGTTAAATCAAGAGTTAACTTCAAGCTGGATTAATTGACGTTTTTGTCCACTTGGAGGCAGCAGGAACGAGCTGTATACACACTGACACGTTATCTTCCCAGTTGAGTAAACAGTTGCCTGTTTATATAAGCATTCATCTGGAGTCATGTTTCTAGCCACCTGCTGTGTGTCTCATATCTCATTTCCTTTAGCTTTGCTTTTGTTTCCATAACTTTTTAACAAACAAAATCTCAGTGTTGCTCCAGTATATGCACAAGTTACTATATTAAATTGTCTTTCTTCTTCTTCTTGTCAAGCAAGTTGTCTATAGTGATTATTGTCCTTCCTTCTTTCATTTTTTCCAACTTTACTGTTTAAATCAGGTGATAGTAAATCAAAACAGTACAACTGAAACAATTAGCAGAAAGGTGCTAAAAGGCACCGTGGAGCAAAGGGCAACTGCAGATCTGATCACTTCTAGATTGTCACATTTAACATTGGAGTCTGATGCTTATTGTTCAGTTCAGTTCAGTTCTTTTTTATTTCAAACATATACATTCACCAACGTTTCATAAAATCATTCCATGCAGTTGTTTGAAAAGGAGTAGGCAGAAGTATATACTTATTTAGCCCCACCCCCTCAGGTTTACATCCTCATCATCTAAATTTGAACAACAAAAACGTATACAACACCTTCAACTTAGAACATAACATCACAAAAAAATATTTTCTCATGTTCAACTAAAACTAGATTTAGATTTGCTAATTTGCAGAAGAAAATAAACATCAGTTTGACTGCTGTCTTGGGTTAATTGCATTTTCTTCATTCTTATACTTATTTAAAATTTTGATTAGGGATGTTAAACAATAATCTAAATTTAAACTAAATCTGCACCATTTCTTTGAAGAATAAAAAGCAGAAATATTGAATATAGAAAATATTGCTCACCTGAGTTGCGATTAACCTGATTCTGAGGAATGATGATCTGACAGGAGTTGGCATCATTAGTGTTTTTGATGGGATGGCTGAGGATGCAGATCACACGGATCACCTGACCCGCTTTACGGACACGGTCTGGGATGTAACTAGGGTCGCAAATGAG